TATATAGCATACTTGTTCAGGAAAAGGGCAGGGATTTCATCCTCTCCTGGATCCTTGAATCTGGCTTCAGCGATTTGAGTACAGTCTCCATGGCTTTAGATCTTCTCTTGTAAAAACACTCTGAAACTGTGGGCAAACAAATTGGTAACTTCTTTCTCATTTCTCACTTAGGAATGTAACCATTAACTGCAATCTTAATGGTTATATTCCTAAGTGAGAAATGTGTAACTCTTGAACGAAGAGATCTGTTTATGTAGGTATAAAACTGCTTATCGGAAACGGCTAGCAATTTTTCGATCTCCATATTTCCTTTTAGACTATTTTATCTAATTGTCTTTGAGGAGGTTATTTTGGTTCCTATAATCTGTAGTTCAGTTGTCATTTTCACTTTTCAGAGTTGTTTTTCAATAATTACTTGTGCCACAAATTTTTCTTTTTTTCAATGTTTTTAAAAATTTCTCGAGTTAGCCAAGGATTCTGAGGATTGACAATCTTTCAGTTTGAATGGAATGAAAGAACTGATTGTGGACAAGGGCGCCCACAGGGAGGGTCAGGGGGGGTCACTCGCCCCCCCCTGGAAATCTCTTAAATTTCAATTATTTTGCTTGAATAAAAAATATTAAAACTTCTGATATTAGTTGAACTATGATCGCGGACCGATTTTGCGACTTTATTTTTATTAAAATAGAAAACGTGAATGTATATCGGAAAAGGAAAACGGAACGCACGTACCCTAGCCACTATCTCTGCTAGCTACCAATTTCACCGCACTATATACGTTCATATAGAGTGACAATTTGAAAAATAGCAATCGGAAATATCTCTTAAGACAGAAAATACTATAAAGATCTCAAATACGTATCAGGGGAATTGAGGGATCGGACGAGGAACTAAAATGAGGCATCCCGCCTCACCCCTTAGGAGGTAGTTTCCATACCTAACTTATTACTTCTTTTTTCAATACTAACCTACCTTGTGCTGCACATCGTTGGATAGCTCGTTGATTTCCTTTTACAGTCTTATAGCAAAATCTAAATAGTACAATTAGTTTTTGAGATATCAATGTTTAAAAGTAAGCACTTTTGAAAACCATTAATTTTGTCTATTTCCTACTAAAAAGAATTCTGTCATAAAAGTCTCAAATACAGAGAGAGAGAAATCAAATGTGTTTATTGCCTAACCCCCGCCCCGTGCGCAAAATAAAAAGATCTACCAAAATGACTATGGAAAGATTCAAAGGCATTTGTTGTCTTATCCAGGTCTATCGAGGAATGTGCCATATGTCGATGAGATAATAGGGAATTATTGAAGAGTATAAAATGCCAGGCACTAATAGCGGTAGGCAATATTTTGGCGTTTTTGAAACGTGCGCGTTGTGGCAGTACTGTTTATTTTTAGTGCCGCCACTAATAAAGTTTGTGCCTGTCACTATTTGTGGAAAATAAAAACAGGCCATAAACAGGCACAGTCTCATCTTTATGTCTCTTCTTTTTTTTTAGGTTGACGTTCGTCGAGGCTTATCCACTTTTTTATCAATTTACATTTATAGGTTTGTTTAGATTTAGTTCAGAATCAATTCTGAATCGAACTGCGCTTGCGTATTGGTTAATATTATGTTCGATATGAACAAATGCGCAAGCGCAGTTCAATTCAGAACTGATTTTGAACAAAGTCCGACCAAACCTTTTTCTTCAATTTCCAGTGACAGGTTAGTGGCTTCTTAGCGGGGTTTGGTGTTGTGTTTTTATAGGTTTTCTGCGATTTTCCTGTTCTGGTAATTGTATGTGTTGGATTTTTTCATTAGAATGGGCTCTTATGAAAAGAAAGACAGTTTAAAGTCACAAATACTTCGCTTCAATGACCACGAGGCCTACAAGAAGAACCACTAGAAGAACGCTAAATACGTATTAAGACTTTGCAATTTTAGGTTAGGAATATGAAAATAAAACATGACATGCCACTGCCAAAGTTCACCACTGCCGACATCAACGTGTCGTTCAATAATTCCTTTTGTGAGCCAAAATAGTGCCCGCCACAGTCAAATTTGGGACGGTAGTAAAGCGGCACAGTCAACTGTGGCCATATTTCAATAATTCCCTAATCTAAAAATTTAACTAGAACTTCGTGATTCGGCTGAATAGCTAACAACTCAAAAACAAAGAAATCGCTAACTTCTTGATTCTTCAAAAACATCATTCCGAAACAATTATATATATGTAACGATTTACCGATTTCTGAATCTTTTTTTTTATATTCAATGCTTAATCCTAAGTTTTGGATCTTCCTCTACCATGCCTGAGATTTTAACTATTTATAAGAAGTAAATAAGTTGATTTAATATCTATATCTCAGTGTACCGATTTGCATATTGATAAATTATCACCCTTTTCCTTATTCCGGAACAGGTGAATTTTGTGGCTGAATTCAAGGATCCCGGAGCGAAACACATGTCACTATTAGGTGAATCAAATAATAAACAATCTGTGTTAACATGTGGCTTTTTAAATTATGCTTTTGCTTAAATTTTGCATTGCATGTGTCACATTCAAATGGATAAATATCCGAATGTGTTAGTTTGTGAATCTTTAAATCGGCTTTCCATTAAAATTTTGATTCGCAAGTGACACATTCGAAAGGATAAATATCCGAGTGTGTTGAAATGTGCCTTTGTAAATTACCTTTTTCTTCAAATTTTGCCTTGCAAGTGTCACATTCAAATGAAGAAATACCCGAATGTGTTAGTTTGTGTATCTTCAAATCGCGTTTCCGTTTAAATTTTGATTTGCAAATGTTCCATTCAAAAAAATTACATATCCAAGGGTATCAATATGTGTTCCTTCAAATCGCCTTCTCTTTTAAATTTTGCATTGCAAATGTTACATTTAAAATTCTCCTCATCCGAGTGTGGTAATATGTGGCTTTTCAAACTACGTTTGTGTTCAAATTTTGCATTGCATGTGTCACATTTAAAAGGATAAATATCAAACTGTGTTAGTTTTTGTCTCTTTAAACAGACTTTTCCTTTGAATTTTGCTTTGCAAATGTCACATTTAAAAAGATAACTATCGAAGTTTGTTGATATGTGACTTTTCAAATTACCTTTTTGTTTAAATTTTGCTAATTTAAATTTTTCTTTAAATATTGCATTGCATATGTTGCATTTAAAATTCTTCTCGTCCAAGTGAGTTAGTTTGCGTCTCTTGCGTGCCTTTTCTTATAAATTTTACTTTGCAAATGTTGCATTTAAAATTCTTCTCATCCGAGTGTGTTAATATGTGTGCGTTCAAATTACCTTTTCCTTCAAGTATTATCTTACCAGTGTCACATTTGAAAGGAAAAATATCCGAGAGTGTTGATATGTGACGCTGTAACTCATTTTTTTCCGCTTTGTAAGTGTTACATTCGAAAGAACAAATATCCAAATGTGTTATTAAATGATGTTTCAAATTTGATTTGGTTTTAAATGTAACATTGCAAGTGTAACATTGAAACTTCCCAATAACTTGTCTTGATAAATTGATGTCACTCGAATGTTCTTTCTCCTTTATAAATATTCCTTAATTTGGATCTATCAATTCAATAGATAAAGGACTCAATCAATTCAAAATACCTATTCTATGAAAAATAACATTATTTTCTCCGTAATTGAATGTATTTTTTCCGAATTTGAATTTACTTTTTCCGAATTTGAATTTACATTTTCCTAAATAAAAGTAACTTTTTCCGAAATTGAGGTTGAAATGGTGTAGAATGAGAAACTACCTCATGTGATACCTTCTTTGGAAGGTTTTTTATTCCTCTTTGGAGGCATGCAGAAGCAGATAGAATTACAATAAACACATTATTTGGTCGATGTGTATCGGAGACTTTTATGGCAGATTTTTTTTGTTTAGAGATAGTTAAAATTACTTCACCATGTCCAACAGTATTTTAGAAAGATTCAATTGTATTTTAGAATAGTCATTTGCTCATTTGTATTTAAGAAATCCCCCATGAATAATCGAATAAATTTCTTAAATACAAATGACTATTCTAAAATACAATTGAAGCTTTCTAAAATACTGTTGGAAATGGTGTATTTTTCACAAATGTTCGTACTATTTAAGATTTTGCTATAAGACGGTAAAGGGAAAGCAACGAGCTATCGAACGATGTGCAACACAAGGCAGATTTGTATTTAAAAATGTATTCAATTGATTTTGACCCCCCCTACATATTTTTCTGCGGGCGCCCCTGATTGTGGATGACATAGAATGCCGATTACCTGCTTAAAGTTAGCAGTAAAGCTGGAGAATTCTTGCTGTAGATGTGTGTTAATAAGTTCATAGTCTGCGAACCAAAATCTCTTATATACCTACCTATTTTATTTGTTGGTTTTGGAGTAATCTAAATTTGGGATTTGGCTGTTTGACTATGGTCACTTAGTCCGATTAATAATGGATGCTGTGATACATCAAAAGCAAAGCCTCATATCAGATCAAGTGTAAAGACTGTTCATTTCTTCTTCTTATTCTGGTTGGTTATATGTATTTAAAGTTACAAAAGGATTACATATTACCTGATTATATTCGTGATAGAATTAGGGTTTTTCAGAGAAGTCCATAAATTGTAATACCTAAGTTAAGTACTAGAAATTGCAATGATTTTATGCTGAGAAAGTGTACCTAATTCTAATCTTGAATTTTGAATTTTTAAAAAATATTGCCTTGTGTATGTTTTTAGTTAGTGGATATTTTCATTGTATGTAAAATATAGATACTACATATACTATTTATATTGTTTTTCTATGCAGCTTCTCATTGGTCTTTGTGAAAATTCTAACCGAATTTTTCATGTCTTTCAAGCCAATATCACAGCCAATACAGAATTCCCAAATTCTTTTCAGTTCGTTTATTATTAGAAAAATCCCAGCATTCCACGAATTCGAGTGCCTATCGTGGCAACAAAGCGTGGCGCCCGGTCTATCAGCGGGGCAAAGCCCCAACAAAGAAAGAAACTTGTTTTCATTCCGTCTCGGTCGCGCTCTTTATAAACCAAAAAACATTGGATTCTTCGACACAGTTGATAAAATTTCTGAAGTGTTTTGTTTGTTTGGTGCCATTCCGTAGAATTATCAATAAACTATCTATCAAAATTCATCAGTCGAGATGTTCTCGATGAAATTGTGCCGGAATCGTACGTGTCGCGAGTTATTGAGAGACTTTCGGAGGAATATCAGTAAAACTTCGACGGATAAAAATAGCGATGCTATATCCAGGGTACAAGATCACAAAATTCAGCTGGCAAGTTTGGAGAATACTTGTGATAAAAGTGAAACTAATAGGAGGTGGATGAAACAGATGCAACATAATAATATTCGGTGAGGAACTTATTCAACAATATCAAGTTTTTACAGTTACAATATCTTCACTTTTACTTGGTAGCTTACTACAAGTACAAATAGGTAGATATAATTATGAACCATTTGTAGGTATTTTTGAGTTGAGAAAATACAAAATACTTGTCTTATGTCGACATTAACTTCTTTTTATCCAAAAAGTAAAAAGTTGTAATTTTAATATCAACTTCTTGGTTGAAAGAAAAGTCCAGGATGACTAATATAAATTCAAAATGACCAAACTTTTCAAAGATGAAGCAACAACAGGTAAAACATAATATACCTAGGTAGGTACATACAAAAGATGAAGGGTTGTTGTCACTGGCGTAACTAGCCATCTGACCTGGAGGGGGGCCTAGGGTGGGCCCGATTTTTGCAGGATAATATTTTTATAAATTTGTTTATAGGGAAGGGAGAAGCTCGCCTCAGGCGAAAATTTTTTTCCGGATGCCACGCTTAAAAACGTGTTTTTTATAGTGTATATGTTACGGTTAATATGCAAACTTGGCTAGTTTGTAAACTAGCTGGATAGTTTAGAAACTAACCAACCCCTTGGCTATTTTGATAGAAAACGCAATTTTTACTAAAATAGCAGCTAGTTTGCAAACTAACCAAAAGTCTTGGCTAATTTGCTTGAAATTATTGAGAAAACTAAATTAGCTGGTTAGTTTGTAAACTATCCAATGCAGTTTGGCTAATATGGAAACCATATTTTCCAGTAACACAAAATAGCCAAGCCTTTGGCTAGTTTGTAAACTAACCAACCAATTTTCTGGCTAATTTACGAGCTAATTTACAAATAAAGTTTACGGCAGTTCATGGCATTCCTTATTCGATAAATTAGAGATGAATAAAATTAACATTTTTGCTTTTTTCTTTTCTACCTGGCAATTCCCACATCCATCGAGGAACAAAGTTACAATTTCTTGGGTAATATTTGAATATTTTTTATTTATTAGCTTTGTTGTAACTTGTTTTTTGCCGTGCCCAGTTGATTGGTGAGATTCTTTAATAATATCAAACAAATCGTCGATACAAGCTAATATTTTGCCAGATTTCCTTCGTTGTGAAATTGGAAATTATTTGCTTTATTAATATACAAATCTATCAATGGAGAGTCGAATTCTTTAACCTAACTTTGTTTGCAAATTAGCCAGAGAATTGGTTGGCTAGTTTGTAAACTAGCCAAAGGTTTGGCTATTTTATGTTACTAGAAAATATGGTTTTCATATTAGCCAAAATGTATTGGATAGTTTATAAACTAACCAGCTGTTTTAGTTTTCTCAATAATTTCAGGTAAAAATTAGCCAAGACTCTTGGTTAGTTTGCAAACTAGCTGCTATTTTAGTGAAAATTGTGTTTTCTATCAAAATAGCCAGTGAGTTGGTTAGTTTGTAAACTATCCAGCTAGTATACAAACTAGCCAAGTTTGCATATTAACTGTAACATATATATTTTTGTATTTTTGTCTACGAGCGTGCGAAAAGTGCTTTTTTCTGTACGCATTTTAGGCCATGAAAATATCACATCATTATCAAAATAATTATGCCTGGTACTTTTATGTCCTAAAATGCCTTATGTCCCGATTATTGTCAAAGAATAAAGATGGAGAATAGCAACATTAGCAATATAAAGTAATAGAGCATAAAATTGACCACAAATAACCAAAGGACAGAATACTAATACCTCCCTAATCTATAAGACTAATACCACTTGTATAATTTATTATACAAAGTTGTGTAAATTTAAATTACATATTATATGATACTGATACTTAGAGATGGCAAATTCTCGAGAATTTATTTTGAGAGAATTTTCTCGAAGAATATTCGGTAACATTGGAGAATTTTGGAGAATTTCGAAGAATATAGCTTCTTAACATCATTTGGAGCTTTTTGCATCTTTTTGGTATCTAAATATCACAAAATTGACATAGAAATTTTGTTTTCCTTATTTTGTCTGAAATGTTTCCATATCGAACTTCTAGGTTTCATTTTCGGAGAAATTTCCTCAAAACTAGTCAGAATCAAATCAAAATCAAATCAAAATTTTATTCACGCATATAGCATTTACAATAGTTAATTAATTATTTCTACAAAAAGTCAAAAAGAACAAAATATAATATATCAAGGAATCAGTGTCTGAAACAATCCAAAAAACAAGACACAAGACACAAGATGGCGGGATAAAAACAAGACTAATTATCAATTATATAAGACATTCTTAAGTTTAGTCGAAAATCTTCCATAAGATCGGTCAAACATATCTGTGTCACATTTAGTTAAAATATCATTTGACAGCTTTGACATTCTACACAATGGAGAATTAATACTATAATTAGTTCTATGAAAATCAACATTAAACAGAATCCTATTTCTAACATTTATTGGGGAAACATGAATGCCAATAGCCGCTAGGAGGTCAGGTGCATCTATCATACTATTTATGATTTTATAGAAGGTGGAGATGTTAAAAAAATTTCTTCTATTTTCCAGTGATGTCAAATTCAAAAGTTTCATAATGTCAGCATAGTTAATTTCCTCAGATGGAATATGAAGTTTGTAAGCTATTCTACTCAAAAATTTATGCTGAATTCTTTCCAACCTTTTTCTATGTACACCATAGAATGGTTGCCACACACAACTGGCATATTCCAGGATTGAGCGGACAAGGGCACAGTAGAGTAACTTGAATGTGAAAATATTCTCAAATCCTCGCAGTGTTCGAAAGATAAACCCGAGCAAACGCATTGCTCTGTTGGTAATTACATCAATGTGATGAGTAAAAGTAAGTTCGGAGTCAAACCAAACACCAAGATCTTTTACTAGGGACTGTCTCTCAAGCTGTTCAGAATTAAGCAAATAATTGTAATTGTGAGGATTTTTTGATCTACTAAATGAAACAACTTTACATTTCTTAACATTCAATGAAAGATTATTATCAGTGCACCATACAGAAAAACGATCCAAGTCTTCCTGCAGCAACCGGCAATCATATATTGTTTGTACAACTCTGAATGGCTTTAAATCATCAGCAAAAGCAAGAAATCTACTATGCTGGAAAGAGTCTTTAACATCATTAATAAAGCAGTTGAATAAAAAAGTTGAGAGGTGTCCACCTTGGGGAACACCCGAGGTAACTCTTGTTTCAGATGAAATATAGTTTTTTATTTTAACCGCCTGCGTTCTACCTCTCAACATATTTTCAAACCAACCAAGCAGCTCTCCATGTATTCCAATAGCTTCCAGCTTTTTCAACAAGATGCCGTGATCAACCCTGTCAAAACCCTTGGAGAAATCTGTGTAGATGACATCAACTTGACACTTATTCTCCAAGGCTTCCAACAGAGACTGCTCATAACATAGCAGATTGGAAATTGTCGATCTCGACTTCACAAAACCATGCTGCTCGCTGACAATTATGTGCCTAAAATGAGGTGTTATTTTATCTGCAATTATCGATTCAAAAATCTTAGATATCAGAAATATTTTTGAAATAGCACGATAATTTTTTATATCAGAGCGATCCCCATCCTCAAAAACAGGCGTCACATAACATTTCTTTCAACACATGGGGAACATTCCACTACATAAGGATAAGTTAAAAATTTTACAAAGAATTTCTGCTAAAACATATTTACAATTTTGTAATAGAATGACAGGTATACCATCTGGACCCGGTCCTAATGTTTGTTTCAAACTACTAATTTTATTAAAAACGTCAATAACAGACAGTTGTAAAGAACTAAAACTAACAGATATATCATAGACAAACGACACATTTGTATCCCTGTATTCCGAGTATACTGAAGAGAAATGCCTGTTAAACATGTTAGAGATCATCTCTGGATTATTACTGGATTCATCATCAAGGTTCATAGACTGAGGGTATTCGGAATTACCCTTTTTAGAGTTCACAAATTTCCAAAAAGACTTTTTGTCTGTTAACTGAGCTTCCATAGATTTTATATAACTTTGATGACTAGAGGACGACATATCTCTACACTGTTGCCTTAAATATGAAAAAACAGCAGAACTAATATTAAGGGGTCAGGTTTGCAATCTGACGGATAAAAACGCAATCTGTAATATCATTGGTCCGCCAGTTATCCGCCGACCAATAGAATCTTAGAACAGTACATTAATCTTGTAGATAGTTACCAGCAAGTTTATCTGAAGATGAATACCTAAACCGGGCCTAAATATGTAAGTTAAATTATTAAATATTTCTTCGTACACACTCTGCACTCTACACAGTGCAGAAACAATGAATCACTGAAATAACTTATGGCCATGGCGCTCCCAGTTCGTAGAAATATCTAGTGCGAAGAAAATGTGTCTGTGTTTCTATTTGTTTCTTTAACAGGCTGAGAGAAAGAGCTGGAAATACACTATGTACTCAGTTGCGCCAGTGCGCATTAAATCTAATCTACCAATCGAAAACGCCTATGGGCTCGGGGTATTTACCGGATTTACCCGGTCATTATTCTTGAAACAGGGGAGCAGCGTTCCCAGGAAAACGAGTGTTCCGTCTTTGTTACTTATATTCGAGCCTATATTATCAGTTGCATATCATTGAGTAAGACGGAACACTCATTCTCTTGGAAACGCTGCTTCCCTGTTTCCCTTTCAAGAATAAGGACCCGGACTCACTCTTTTCTGTTTTTCATTTCAACCTTATCTCACTATGAACCTAGTGCCATCTGTATGTGCAAGGTGATAAATTTAAAAATAGGGGGGGTAATTTCCAAAAAAATTCTCGTAAATAACCGTATATCCTCATACATTCTAGAACCTAAAAAAATTATAAATTCTCAAGAATTTAAATCCGAAGAATATTCTCGGTAAATTCTCTGTTCTCGATAGAAGTTCTTTGGAGATTATTCCACTCATGTGTTAGAAATCCCATAAGACAAGTGACTATTTTCAGAATTTCAGCGAAAATTCTCTTTTCCATTTGTTTAACTAGAGAGAATTACAGCG